GTCCGATGAGCTGGTTCGTCAAACATTGGCCAATGCGCTCACCTTTTCCAATGCGAGCACACCGCTGGAGTCCTTTGAGCAGTCGCATCGACCTTACGCATTGACCAGAAATAGCAGAAGCTCGTTCGGATCCAGCTTGGACGACAACCTGGGCTGCGTGCATCGCGAGTATATTGTCTTCACCTGGGTGCTGTGCCTCGTCTCCCTGGCCACAGCCCTGAAGCTCTACTACCTGATTAAGGCTATCATGGCCCTGGCAATGGTCGCCTTCTACACCACGCTGATTTTCATCCGGTTCAGCACCGAAGAGAGCTTCAGCTTGGTCAACCTGAGGAAGAACGGCATGCCCCTGGGCGTCCAAATGCTGATACTACTCATCACCTTTCTAATCATGGTCTGCTATCATGCTAGACTCGTGGAGGTAAGCACTTGCCGGTACCATGAGATCGAAGTAGCTCCTCATAATGCCCTTTGTCGCACGCAGGTCACCTCGCGGCTGGACTTCATTTGGAAGGAGCAAGCGGAGCGGGAACTGACCAACATGAAATCGAATCGTGCGCTTAATGACACATTAATTAAGGTACAGTTCCATTTACCCACCCACATTAACTCACCCACTCCCATTCCTGATGATTGCTCATTAATTAAACGCCTGATTTGGATTTTCTCACAGAACATTTTGCCGGACCACGTGGCGGCCTATTACCTGTCCGACGAGCACACGGACGAGCTCTATTCCAAAATGCACAATCTGTGCGGCGTTATGTTCGCCTCGATACCCAACTTCCAGGACTTTTACTCGGAGGACATCGACAATGGCAAAGCGTGTATTCGCATCCTGAATGAGATTATCTGTTAGTTGATTGATTTTATAGTCTCTCGTGGAGTCGCATTGCTAATGATGCTTTCTGTCTCTGTCTCTGCCCCAGGCGACTTTGATGAATTGCTGGAGGAGCCGCGCTTTGCATCCGTTGAGAAAATAAAAACTGTGGGTGCCACCTATATGGCTGCCGCTGGACTCAATCACGAGCATTTGCGCGTGCGGGGGGAAACGTCTGAGGATAGCGTCTGTGACCTGGTGGAGTTTGCATTTGCCATGAAGAAGAAGCTGGAGGAGATCAATGGGGATGCGTTCAACAATTTCCAGCTGCGCGTTGGCATCTGCAGTGGACCCCTTGTCAGCGGTGTGATCGGCGCTCGCAAGCCTGTCTACGATATATGGGGCAACACAGTGAACGTGGCCTCACGCATGGACTCCACCGGCGAGAACTGGCGGGTCCAGGTGCCGGACAATACGGCGGAATTGCTCTGCTCACGCGGCTATACGTGTGTGGTAAGCTCTGAGGTTTGAAGCGAACAAAGAGGCGGAATCTTAGGTTTTTTCGTTATGCAGAAACGTGGCGAGGTCAATGTGAAGGGCAAGGGCATGATGACCACCTTCTATGTGCATCCGAAGGGCATTTCCGACAGTCAGCTAATCTCGCCAGTGCGTCAGCCGGCGGGCATACCACTCGCCCAGACGCCCAATCTACAGCGCCAGACCTCCCACCACGGCTCCTTCAGTGCCGTCGTCTTTGGCATGATGCAGGCCACCAAGCGCAGCACCGCGATACCAGGCACACGTGAGCACCTCCAGCTGATTGATATCTGAATATGCTTATGTCAATTTTATCTACTTCCTTGCAGCCACCGGCACGCCCTCGCCACAAATTCGCCGTGGACACCGGGGCAGCACATTCAGCTCTGTGCGTCTCTCCCAGAAGTCGACCACAATCAATCCCGTGCGACGGAACACAACACGCGTGCGTGCACGTTCCTATCGCCAGAAGAAGGTAAATGTGTGCTGCATCGGTTCTGCTCCATCTCACCAATAGATATCTCTATCTCTGCAGAGCTCCTCCAACAATTCGATTGTCACACAGGCCAGCTCCACGTACATGCCCTCGTTTCGGCGCATCGATCAGATCGAGACAACCATATCCAAGAGCCACAACGATGCTTTATAGCCTACCACGCGCACCAATTGGGTCTAAGTCGGGCCCACGGCTTGTGAATCATGGTCCATGGGACAAGTCAGTTGCCAAAAATAGCTGTAGAATTTATTTTTAGAATGATTTTTAGCAGTGCTTCAAATGCATCAACTAGCTAAAGGAACCGGCTTCCAAATAGATCAAAAATCCATTTATTTGCTGTCCACGAAAGTTGACAGAAATCCATTCTTGTATTATATGTATGTATTCGATATATTGCATCATCTCAGCACAGTTCTAGTCCTTTCATAAGCATATATATATATATACAACAAGAATATATATATATGTACATATTGAGATCGTTCATTTGTCAACTAAGCGAATTTTTGAGAAAAAAAGAAATGTAGAGTTCCAGAATCAACGTTCTATTCAAATAATGCGTAGTTAAAACTTTACAGTTTACCAAAAAAAATTTGATCTAATTCAATTACAATTTGCCAATAACTTATTCGTTTTATGGTAGTTTTGATTAAATCGATCAATTTAGCTTAAAACTTGTAGCATAATTGAAAACATTTTTAACGATGATAAGTCCAAGATGAACAAATTTTGAAATTGCTGTACAAATATCTTCTTCACCATATTTCATTAGATCAATGTTTGTAAATACGTAAATTTAAATTATATTAAAGGAAAATCCACATTTTTAGTGATTTTATGTGTAAAACGCCAAAAAAAAAAAAAAAACATTTTAGATAAGCGATCCAAAGCACAAAATTTGATAAACTAAACAAAAACAAATTTAACAAAATGTTTGCAGCCCACGGCGAACGATATAACCAAAAATATTGATGTATGCACCATATTGTAATTAAATAAAAGTTACAGAAATAAATGTGATAAATTAAACAAGTCAACAAACAAAATACCGGAAGCCAAACGAAATGACCACCAAAAAAAAGAAAAACAGCAACACTTAAATCGACACAACAAAAGGTATATTAAATAAAAAGAAACGTTGGAGTGCTCGACGCGTAGATACCCTGCATTCAGCTAGGAGCTGCCCTCAAAAGCACTCCAACTTTCTTCTGTTTGAGTAAACTATTCAAGATCGTTTATGCCATCTCTTTGACTCTTATATTATTCAAAATTTGCTGAAAGTTTCCTATTCGATATATATCTCTTTATATATCGCAGAAGCCTCTTTCGGAAAACCATTTTACTCATAGCCCCTGAGTACAGGGTATAAAAAGAAAACCGAAAAGAAATGCGGCTACAATAACAAAAAGAAAAACTACCACATAACTCTATTTTTATCACAGATGCAGACGAATGCACCTTGGACGGATGGAGGGCAAGTGGACAGCTGGAGCCAGATCACTTGACGAGCAGACGGTCCAACTTCCCACGTTGGTTACGTTTCGTTAAGCGAAATGATGAAAATGCAAATGACATTCGGACGCACGCAACTTGCACAAGCAACAAAAGTACACGACTTGGAAATACCCTAGCTTTAGATTTCAAATTTGGTAAGGTGCAACGAAAACAACCTTTCATCATTTCTGATAATATTGTTATTATTAAGGCTGCAAATCGTATTTAAATCATAAAATGTTAAGCTAAAATCTCGTTATTTAACATGAACCACAACTTTTAACGGTTTATCTCGATAAAGCACCGGCAAAGCTAAGCCTGAACGAACCAAACCTTGAACATGAACCGAACCACAAATGAACATATATTAAGTATCCAAGTTATGTACACATATACTTTTCACTATAGGGTAGTCAAAGGTGCCGAGAATGAAAAAAAAAAAACATGTACAGGACACACACGGAAATAGCAGCAACAACAATGCAGCTAGACGAATGCGATGCAACAACCACTTGTGCACTTCCACTTATTGGCGGCGCCGGCAACGCCTAATGTGAATGTGTGCGGTTGCCGATAAGACGCCGCTGTTGTTGTTTTAGTTGTTGCTGTTGTAGCTATTGTGTGTGTGTGTGTCTGTGTGTGTGTGTGTTTGGGTTTCGAACTTCGAAGAGCAGCAGCTAGTGCAGACAAACCAAAAAAAATAAATTTAAATTTCACTGCGTCGTCGTTTGTGCAGTTGGCCGTAGATTGCCGGTCTCTTGGCCCCTGAACCGTAACGCCCACCTAAAAAAAATACCCTACATGTAGGTATACGGATATGTCCGAACGGTAAAAATAAAGTAGTCTAGTGACAATTTGGCTAACTTCTGATTACGCCGTAAAAATACATAAATGATTGAATGGCTCAGTACGTACATATATAATTCACACAAATACACAGTATTTAAGTAGCTCAGCGCCTGTAGCGCACTCGGTGCAACAAAAACGCCCGAAACTTTCCCGGAACTCAGTTTGCTTCCGCTTGGCGCTAAAGCAACATGTGTGCACCAGTCCCTGTTTGTGTGTGTGTGTGTGTGTGTGTGGTTATGTGTGTCAATGTTGCATGTGTGCTGCCGGCGCATCCCCTGTTGATCAGCTTCAATTTCATTCATAACATGTTCAGCTGGTATGAATTAATGTAAAAAATCTTATTTGAGGTGGTTGCACAATCGTTCTAGCTAAAAGCTATATATGTATATAGCATAAAACACATATTTCACGTCTTTTTTGATATTTATATATATTTTTACCACAAATATGCCGTTTATTTTTGATTTAAGCGTTTTGCGCCATTATTCAGCTGTTCGATAAATACTGTGCATCCAGTGTTAGTAAACATGTTCGATTATTTTGCTCATGTTGCTCTCGCGCTTGTGGTCGAAAATCATAGCTAGAAAATCAAAGAAAAGTACAAATAATCACTCTTTATAAAGGCACAGATTATTACTGATCCATCTATAAGCCTTAAATTATAATAGTTCGAAACATGGCAAGGCAATACTCTTTAGTCAATTGTATTAACAGCATACTGCGCTGCGAGCATTCTCTCTCTCTCCTCTCTTGTTGAATCGTTGTATTCTTCTTCTTTCGTGTACCTGCCATTCGTCGTCGCTCATTATCGTTTCATTTCTCGTTGCGGACGGTTGTGCGTCGCTGCGCGCGGAAGTAATTTTGTTGCATTTTACAACTCTCTTCCACAACTCGTAATCGGAATATTATTTAGCTCATTGCATTTTGAACATCTACTCGTAGTAGTTGTCGGCTTAATACAATATTGAATAGAAACTTACAAGTGATGTGTCTGTATGCAAGTATTTAATACACAAAAAGTGCTTAAAGCAACCATAAAGTGATGTTAAAAGCATTTATATACAAAAATCAGCAAAAAAATCTCATACAAAACGCATACGTTGTATTCCGTCGGTTGCGGTAGAACGAAATCGTGTTATTTTCATTTACAATTCTTATCTAAATGCAACACTGTGAACCAACACCAACATAATGCTGTTAAAAAAGAAGCGATATATGTGTGAAGAGCAGGACGACGCTATTGACATCGTTGCTGTTGTCGAGGCAAGCAACAACAGAAACACCAACGCGAACAACAACAGCAGCAGTAGTTATGGATCCAACATGGCTGAAACACGCGAAGTCAGAATTGAAGAGCAATTAAAAGTGAAAATTGGTATGTAACCCTGCGCAAATCAATGAAAACACAAAACCAACTGCTAAATGAAACCCGTCTTCGCACCAACTAACAATAATTTATACGCGTACGTTAGTTTTTCTATGTGAAAAGTGTATTGGAATGCGAGCGCGTCGCCAAGAGGCGCCCAAGCAAACGTGAAACAGAAAATGAAATCAAAACGTTTTTGAAAGAAAAGCGTGCAGCGCACAAAATAATAATGAATAAGTGATTATAGTAATTAGCAAAATGCAATTAAATGATGTTAAACATTAACAAAATACAGTAATAAATGCTACTTTTTGGCTGAAAATGCATTATTGTGTGTGAGTGTGTGAGGCAACAGCGTGCGGTGCTGTTTTCGCGCTTGCTATAGCCGCATCGTGCCATCTCGCTCTTGCGACAGTCGCGCGTGTGTTTTTTTTTCGATGCAGCAAGCAACAAACCAACATTTAACATTGTTGTTGTTGCTGCTGGCAAAGCCAACACGAAGCTAGTTCCGCTGGCTGTTTTGTCGACCAGCCGACACCGTTGCCGTTGCGTTGCCTGGCTGAATGTTACGGCATCGCCCCCGCTGCCGCATGCAGTTGCCCCTTTTTGTGAATGAATTTCGCTTGTGTTTGTGTGTGAGTGACGACGCTTCAGCTTCAGCGCATGTGCCAACACACTTACACAGACTCACACGCATACATACACATACATGTGCACATTGAGCGATGTGTGGGTTTTTTCATGAATGGAATTCGAATTCGGTGTACTTTTCTCTGTCGCTGCCGCCTACCAAACACACACACACGCACATACATATGCCATCGCACCAACACAAACGCAAATTAGATGTTTTATGAATGATTATCAAGAGCAGCTGAATTGCGATGTACGATGCTGATAACCTCGATTTTTCCGTTTTTATTGCACGTCCTACTGTCGATAACAACAAAGTTTCTTCACATCGATTAATGTGTGCGCCAATATCAAAAAAAGGTCAACGTCGCCGCATGCTCATGAATGGACGCCCCTCGCACCTATGCCTGAAGTTCGTTTTCTCTCTCTCTCTCTAGCTCCCTCTCATTAGTTTGGTCCCTGTCTGCTCATAACTGTAACCAACAAGGCATCTGCGACTAGAGAGGCGACAGATTCTCATTCTCGAGCTTTTGTTGCGGTTATTTTGTGTACTTGACTGGTTTTACATTTCCTGTATCGCCTTTTTTGTCGCTTTTGGTTTCTTCGTCGTGTGAGAAGAGAATTATGAAAGCAAAAAAAAAAAAACAACCACAGCCAAAACGTGTGTCACAAGCAACTTCGAACGAAAAGGGTTACTTCTATTAATGTGTGAGTGTGTGTGTGTGTGTGTGTGATGGCCTCATTTGCCTGCCGTCGTCGTCCGATCGCATTTCACACCTGCACGGGCCCCAACACTCTGCAAATAAACATATCTTGATACACATTTGGTGTTTTTTATTTTTTTACCTCTTTTCCATATTACTTATGCCCCAACACTGATGGGGCTCTACCCAGGGCCTGCTTCGCGTTTTCATTTTCCGCCCAAACAAATTCAATCTTTGCGTCGTCGTTCATAAGCAGCTTTTGCTACGCTTCTCTGTCTCTGTCTCCGTTTCCCCTTTGCCCTTCGGCTCATAAATTATATGCAAAGCTGCTGCAGCAGCAACAACAACAGCAGCAGCAGCAGCAAACATTGTAGCAGCTTTTGATTTCCGTTTCCCATCACATGAATTTCCTTTCTTTCGTGTGTTTTTGTGTGTGTGTGTGTGTGCGGTTTCGGTTTGGGTTCTTTGCGTTAAAACTTTTGCTTTTTGCGTTTGCTTTGCTCCCCTTTCGCAAGTCGTTGCTGTTGTTGTTGTTGCTGCTTTTTTTTTTTTTTTTGCACGCTTCAATTGTTTTCGCATGCGCTCGCGTCTTTGTCGGCTGGAACATCTTGCTTTCTGTCCTGCCAGCCGCTTCCTTTCTTAAGCGGCACAAACTCAGCTGTCTTTTACCACGCATTTGTTATAACGCTTCCTCAGCAGCTTTTGTGCCGTTTCTTTGATGCTTTTTGCATATTTAAAAGGTGCTGGTTGACATTTTTGATGAGCTCTTTTTACCGTTGTTGTATGAAAGAAATATAACTTAAATAGTAGAGCAACAATTGCATAACCTTTCCGGATATGATAAGAAACCAACATCATCAAATATTTATTTTGTTGTCTTAGCATATATATCTTGATCAAACTTGCCCATTGTGCTGCCCACATTCCAAATTTAAATTTATTCAATTTTATTACAGGGTATTTATTTTCAGTTAAATGAATAGCAAAATAGAAAATTATAAGCAGTTAAAAATTCATTCACATATAACTAGAATTCTACATCATAGGGAAATGCACAGTCATGTCATGAGAAATAAGTTCCACTGAAAACCTTAGCATATTTACCTATTGCATGCGCAAAGCTTGACGTTCCTTTCATTCCTCCTATCCATTCGATTCTACGGTTTTTGCAGTGTGCCCGTTTGTCTGGGTCTGTCTGTGCATATTTTTCTCAAGTTTCATATTTCCACTTCATTATGCTTTGCATGCTTAATAATAATACTTCCACTTCGTGCTCAGTTTCAATTACACAAAGTTTCGCTTTTGTTGTTGGAGCTTTCCATTTTGTTGGCTGTTGCGATTTCTACACACGAGCAGCACTGACCGAAATTGGCGTAATACTTTTCCACTTAATTAAAATGTTTAGCGCATAACCTAAATTTCGTTTTCCATGCGAGCGAAACCCCGCCCCGCCCCGCTCCGCCGGTGCCCCTGAAAGCATTGGGGCCACGCCTATGAATAGTTACCCGCATTGAGAAATAGTTGCAACTTGTCGCCAGTAGAGGGCGTACTCCATTCCCCCTGTGACTCACAACTGACTCATCGAATGGATGCTAGCGCCGACCCAGACGCAAGACAAGCTATGCAATTTATGCTGAAATATTGATGACAATTTACATGACGCGACGCCCGGCTGACAACTCTGTTTCTGGTATTGGTGGAAAGGGTTGCGAGTGGGTTGACATGGGCCACACACGCACTCGATTCCGCTGAACTTGAAAACTCTAACAAGTAGCTGACAGTTGTTCTATGTGCTTGTAACAGGCATAAATGAGCACACAATGCTCTGCGTGTGTATGAGTGTGTGTGTGTGTGTGTGTGTGTGTGTGTGTGTGTGTGTGTTTGTGTACAACAAGAAATAGTTTTGCCTAAAAAGGCAATTAATTAAAAGCCGGTTGTGTTGTTGCTTTTGCTTTGGCTGTTGGGGCCTGGCCAACAAATCCCAAACTGGTTGCCAACCACTGAGGACTGTCCGAATGCCTGGGACTATTCTAGTCTCTTTTTTTTTTCTCTCTGATCTGTGTTGATCTTCGCTGCTTTGTTGACAATTAGTCTGCCTTGTCGTTTGTCGTGTTCCTTTTGTCTTTGTCGGTTGCTTTATGTTATTTTTTTAAATAATTTTTCTAATACATATTTTTCTTTATAAGCCACGTTTGCTTGTTACTTGGCTAAAGAACAATTAAAATGACATCGTTTCCTTTGAAGAGCTCTTCTTTGTGCTAAGTCGCTTTGAAATTACAATCTAAAAGTTATCTGGAGGTTTTTCTACTGTATTTAACTGGCTCTTAAGGCAAGTTTAGCCTTGATTTGAATTGTCTCTTTCTGTGAAACTGTGTGTCCTGTTCATTTAGAGAAATCCACCTGCAACTGTGGAGAATTGGTGGAAAACGTTTGTATGAAACTTTGTTTTTTCTTATCCGAACGGATTCGATCTCATGTTCAAAGTTCTTCTTGAAAATTCATTTGCTTTGTCCGTGCATAGCCGGGTAATACGCGCTAGCTTAAAATGGTTTAAATATCAACCAGAATCAGCAATAATTAATTGCAATTCTTTAGTACGTAAGGCATTTAGATTGGGCATTTGCTTTAGGTTAACTTTATTTTAAAAGGAAGGCAAACGTTAGCTAAGCTTTTGGAATTGCTCATTTGAGGTTGTTGTTGTTGTTGTAGTTGTTGTAGTACTTGTACTTCCAAAGAACAACAATTGCATGTAATTAGCGCGTTACTAAAATACTTTTTATTCAGGTCGCCTTGAAGCGGCCTCACAAATGGACTTTTGTGGCAATGTTGTTTGACTTGTTGCTGCTGCCACTGCTGCGGCAGTTGGCTGCTGCGTTGATTAACTGCATTAGTTGACATCGTCATCGAGTTGAGGACGCATCTGATCATCTTCGAGATGCGCTTGCAGCGGATGATTAACATTTCTCTTATACTTTCTTGCCCAGCAATAATAATCATGCACACAGAGAGTTTGCCCCCTCTTCCGGACACTGTCTTTTATGACTTAACGCTTGACCTCGCCTCGCGTCACTTTGATGTGTGTTGACTTTGCTTGGGGTCAGCCGTGGGTTGATTGTCTTTTCAGTTCCCCGCTGCACCCTATGCCACCAGGCTTTGAACTTCACGCTGTGCTGGCACTTCTTTGGGGGGGTTTACTCTTTTTTTTTTTTAATGGCTTCGACATTAAAAACACAGAAGTTAACTCGTGTAATTTGTAATAAAAACTCTCAAGTTGTTCCTTTATTACGTTTTGAGAACTTAACATAAATAATTGTTATGCAATTATTTATGCTTGCCTGAGTTGAGTGTCGTTTCTTGTGTGTGGAATGAAGACCCGAAAGGTAAACCGTGTCGGAAATGTCAGAGGGGGCTTATCAAATCTCCAGTTGGGGACACACAATAATTTTGATTGCTTCTAATGGATGTGTGATAAGTTTTTTATTTCGACTAAAGAAGTTCCATGTAATGAATAAACTTAGTAGTAAGTTAAACGCGTAATGCTTGTGAATATTTCTATTTGAAATTGTGTGTGCTGCTTATTGTAACTCTCAGTTTTATTAGATTTAGAGGCCGTAAGCCCACACACGGCAATTGTTGTTGGTTTGAGCGCTTGTCGAATTGTGTTGTGGGCGT